GACGAGGCAAAACACTACTTGGAGAAGTCGGCCGCACGCATGAAGAAATGGGCGGATAAGAAACGGACCCGTCGCGAGTTTGAAGAAGGTGACCAAGTCTTGGTGAAGCTTTATGAGCATGGACGGAGCCGTAGTCTACACAAGGGTCTCATGCGCAGATACGAGGGTCCTTTCACCGTTCTTAAGAAAGTGGGTTCAGTTGCTTACAAGCTGGAGCTACCCGAGGCCTTTTCAAGGCTTCATCCAGTCTTTCATGTGAGCTTACTTAAGCCATACCGCAAGGACCCAGAGGACGAAGAACGGAACGTTTCCTCAAGGGCACCAGCTGGCGTACGCGAGCATGAGGAACGGACCGCAGAGGAGATCCTTTCTAAGAGGATCGTTCGGGGCAAGAGCGGGGCAGCAACTAAAGAATACTTGGTGAAGTGGAAGAATTTGCCAATGAGTGAGACGAGTTTGGAGCCAATCGAGAAGTTTTGGCAATTCACCAAATTGATCGAGGACTTTGAGGAGAATCGTGCACCCGTTCCTATCAACATTGCCTTCGAGACTTAGGTGCATCGGGGCGATGCACCATTTTGGTGGGGGAGGATGTCACGGATAGTTTTTCTTCCCCACGAATTCGGGTGGTTTGCTGCAAAACACGCTATTTTCGTAGACGGACATGGGAGGGAACGGTCTAGAGCCTTGTGGAATTCACCGGTCAAATCTTGAAGATTCTGGAATTTTCTAGAGAGGCCCGGAACTCTCTAAAAACGGGTGGAACAGTGTGGAAGCTACCCGAGTTTGCTAGAACCGTGTGGAAGATTCTAGAGACTTGTAGATATTTTGAACTTAGAATATTTTATTGTAGGAATTCTCTAGAATTCCATTATTTTATTATGTACATAGAATTCTCTTGAATTCTTTAGGACTTGGGGTTTGCCTATAAATACCCCATGCCCCCTTCATTTGTAATCTATCCAAGCTTTGAGTAGAATTCTCAAGCATTCCTTAAACTCTCTTGTGCCTTCATCGTTCTTTCACTTTCAACCTTTCTTAAGTTTTTCTTTGCCTCCGTTCTTTAAAGTCTTGCCTAGCTTTGCACGCTTTGGAGGTCTTAAGGCTGAGCTAGCACTTGATCGTTAGTTGTTTTGTGCTAGTGCCGCACGACCGTTACTTGGAAAAAGTAAGCCCGTGACAATTGTAACACAGCCCTTTGGCACGCCGTGCTGCCATTTCTGCCGCTGACAGTCGCCAAATCGGGAGGTTTTTGGGATTGAAAGGTTTAGGGTGAGTGGGGGAGGTAGTAGGAGAGGAAGAGGATGGCGAAGAGTAAGGTTTGGCGGCTAACGGGCGAGGTGATAGAACCCGACCCGCATTACATTTATCTTTAATCAGTTTTGCCATGCCCATAGCCTGTTGTAGAGAGGTGAGATTCCGAAGGGATAACTCCCGTTGGATATCCTCCCGGAGCCCCGAGATAAAACAATTGAGGAGGTTATCCGTACTCAACCCAGTGGTGAGGGTGGAGATGGATTCGAATTGACCCAGATAATGGGACACAGAAGAGGTTTGCCGGAGTTTATAGAGTTGAGCTTTGTGATTAATGAATTGGGAGGGCCCGAAGCGAAGCTGAGTTGCTGGGTGAAAGTCTCCTATGTAGATAATTGGTTGGTGGTGTACAACCAGTGGAACCACTGGAGAGCAGATCCAGACATATAGAAGGCGGCGATCTGGAGTTTTTGGTCGGGTAGGGTGTTATGGAAAGTGAAAAAGTGGTTAATTTGGAACAACCAGCCTCTGGGATTTTCTTCGGTGAAAAGGGGTATTTCAAGCTTAGGCAATTTGGGAGCATGAAAGGATGCTAGATCTGGAGGTATAGGTGGCGAAAATGGGATGGCCTTGCCGGAAAGAAAAGACGAGGGCGGAATGGTGGTAGACGCGAGGTGGAATTGGGGGTTGCAGGAAGGCGAGGTGGTGGTGGTGGAATCGTCGGTGGTGGTTGGGGAGAGGTGGGTGGAGATCTGGACAGAAGCTCCGCTAAGGTGGCTTTGATAAACTGCAGATCCGCTGAGTGGGTTGAGAGTTGTTCCTGCAATTGTTGCAGATCCGGAGTCACTGGTTGGTGATCCGTTGTGTCTTCTGTGTTTTTGGACCGGGTGTTATGTTTACCGTCAACCATGATGGAGTTACACTTTCAAAGAAAGTACCAAATGATGCAATTGGAAAATAAAATGGACATAAAAGATAAAGGAACGAAAGGACAGTGCTGAAAATAAAGAAAACTTGAAGGAATTGAAACATGAATTTTCTTTTGGTTAAACCCCACGATACTGCTGCCACATACATATATAGGTCCTGACTTAATTTTTCTGCTAGCATAAAATATCTAACAACAAAGGACTATCTCTGTTTACCACTAACTGCATTCTAGACATAATAAGCTTCCATTAAATTATCAGTAATTAAATTAATATCCATCACAATCCTTAAGCCGATTAGGAATCTTCCCTTCACGTGCTGGCCTGTGTGTTTCAACATTTAGACTACAACAAAATACTACTACTAGTTTGGACTGTTCATATATAGTCATCATTTCAAATTCATTCATCTTTCTTTTTCCTTTTGTGAATTGTAATAACCGTATGATTATTACTACTGCTTATTAGAGAGATTAGATCAGTGATATCCACTGTAATTTAGAGCGCGCGCGTGCAGCATTGGTTCAATAAATAATATCCAAGCTTTCAAGTTTTACTAGGTTGTGTAGCCGCAAAGGTGATGTAAATTTAAGTTGGCTACTCGGATATTATAGTTACCTATGGGAAGCTAACTTTAAAAAAATAAAAATTAAAAAAAAAGAGAGAGAAGATAAAAATTTACGAGTAGAAGCCAATAAATAATTTCTCGAATTGGCCGAAGAATCTATATATCGCTTCCCTTTTATGAATTACCTATTAGAGGATACTTATTAAGCAAATCATCCTCACATGGGACGAGAACAATGATTAATAATGCACCAATGTAAGAGTTGATAAACCACCCTAGGGATATTTTGCGATTTGAGGATCTTGATTCCGAAACTACTTAATTTTTTTTTTTAAGAAAAAATCAACTCCAATGGACCCTACTTATATATGTGGATATAACCCCCTTACATATCTTTTGGTGAGAATTGAATTCAGGTCTATTACCAGAAAACACAGTACCCTAACCACTACACTTTGATTCAATTCCCTAATTAAAACTATTCAAATTGAAGGTGATTTTGGCCAAATTTTGGCAGTGGCAGAACAAATGTTGGGAGTGCTTCTTCGATCAGATATTGCGAGTGCTTCAACTGTCCTTCCTTCAATTATATCTACGCAGTTCACGGATCAGTCCAAACGAGTGCAACAAGCTTTTTTTTTTTTTTTTTCACTTTAGGACTATCTCCTTAACTAGAACCATATATAGAGTCCAGTCAATTTCTGGAAATTAAAAAATGTGAGAGATCAAAGAGAATTGATTGATCCACCAGATTAATTAGTACCTTTACATGGTGCGATATACATATCTAGAAGACAAAGTGCATTCTTATGAGTCGTTCTCCTATGACAAGTGATCAAACACTTCATAGGAAATGATCACAAACCCTCTATGTGGCAAAGGGAAGTGCCTTGTCCGAGAGAATTTTAATATTATGGCACCAAGAAGAGCAGTACTTGTAGCCATATCTATACCTCAAATTGATAGGGTATTTGTGTAAATGCTGCATGATTGCGGAGTTGAGAATGAAAAGTCCCCAAGTCAACTCATTACTACTTTTCGATTTTGACAAATATGACTCTTAATTTGCTTGTTTACTTCTTTCGGAGAAGATGATTGATAAGATTGTATCAGGGAGTGGGATCCAAATATTAGTACTCCCTCCGTCCACAATAATTTTGGGATGGGTACTTTTTGGGAAAGGTTTTTTGTAATTTCGATTGATTTCGTAGTTGATGGAGTAACTGAGCAAGAAATTGAGAAAATGATGCGAGATGTACAAAAATAATTAAGAACCAAATAATATTTTTGAAACATAAATGAGATTGAGCTAAATGTATACTAAAACTTTAGCACGTTTATATTTAATAAAAAAAGAAAAAAATGATTGCCAACTAGAATAAATAAAAAAAAAAAGAAGCAAAACAAAAATGAGGGAGATCACTAGAAAAGACGAAAACCAGTGCAACAAGCATGATCTACATCGAGGACTATTTTTTTTTTTTTTTTGGGTGCCTCGGGGACTCATTTCTTTAACTAGAGCCATAGTTGAAGTCTAAATGTCTAATCACTTTGCGGAAATTCAAAAATGAATGTGAGAGATCAAAGGGAATTGATTGATTGATCACCAGATTAGTACCTTTGCATGGAGTGATAGACATATACTTCCTCCATCCCATAAAAATAATCTACATTAAATTTTAAATTTGTGCTAAAATTAATATAAATTTCAACACTTAATGTGGATTTTTTTTAGGACGGAGGGAGGTAATAGAAAACAAGATTCATTCTGTTTGACAGAGAAGCGGCAGCATAAGTGCGTTTTTTTAGACACTAACTTAAGGGGGCGAAAAGGATCTGGTCTAACGTAAAGCTTCACTCAAAAAAAAAAAAAAAAATAGCCATTGTCAATCCTGATATTATCTGTTCATCTGAAAGCAATCATTTTTTAGGACGGAATGAGCAACTGAACTTGTTAGGCCTTCTTGGCTGATGAAAGAAATAGGTCCAGGTTATATATAAAGCAAATTAACCTCCGAATAAGGATGGTTCTATATATATTTCTTCCATCATCAATTAATATATATAATTGATTCAGAAACCTAACTCGTAATGCTTATCTCTAATGTCACACGAATAAAATTACAACATTTATTTTTATTGTGAAATTCATAGATATCAAATATTATTTCTTACAGACACGGATTCTTCTGTACTCAAATATTTAAAACAACAAAAAAGATGATGAGATCGGGACGGAAAATATAGTATTAATAAACCTCGATCATAGATCTCAAGCTGAGTAGGGGAGTAATTGTATAGGAATTGAAGCCAGCTTCATGAAAGATATTTGCCCACTCTTTCTCGTTTCTTTCTTTTCCACCGACTACAACCATCATCAACATATCAAAGAATAGTTGAGTTTCCAATCCCTCATGATCAGTACCATTTTTGTTTCCTTTATGCTTCTCTTCTTCCTTCATCACCATATAAAAAATGATCACCTTCCCTCCGTTGTTCTTGTTTGGGATTGCCTCTCTGCATTTCTTGAGTATTTGTACGCATTCTTCATGATACTCATGCAATATCCACTGCTTTTTCAATCAAATTGCATGAAACAACGACTAATTGAACGACTAATTAAACGAAAAAGACTAATGATGGTACATACATTTATCAATCGATTTGGACCATTTGGTTGCTTATGTCATAATCAAATGGTCTCCAATTCATAGCCGTTTTTCATTTTATTTCAATCAAATTCGAATGTGACGTGTTGTTTTTTATTAAAATTGTCAGACAAAAAATCTTTGAACAAATCGGCAAATCGACTAATTACAAATGCGTATAACGTTGAGACCCTTTTTAGACTTTGTAAAATATCAAAATCATGGGTCACAAACTTACAATCTCACCCAACCCATTTTTCATTTGTCCTTGCAAGATCAAAATATCAACCAACATATCTTTGATATAGGCTCTTTACCACATTGGTCAACCTCTTTTCTACATCTTATCTTGGAAGTATGAAATTAGCGAAAATGATAGTAGTTGTGAAACACGTTTTGCCAATGGCTTTCAAAACTACAAATTAAAGTTATATTGTCTGCTTGAGTGTTTCTATGTGTGATCGTATGTAGTTATTTCCTTTACCGAAATCAATCATCCAAACAACTAATGAATGTTTATTATTTGTAACAAACTCCGGACATCCATCACTTCATGTCAGGTGCCTTGAATGAAGCCATCTTGACAAGTGATTTATTTTTATGTATGTTTTATGCTATAAAGTTCGTATATATCATGAAAGTGCACTTATTAAACAGGTAAAGTGTTATATTTACGTTTTGTTTTAAAAATTATTCATTGCGTTCATATTAAATAGACTCATCTTTCTTTTTTTGTGATATTCTTGCTAAAAATTAGTCTCACCGCGTTACTACGGACATAAAATTAAATTTAAGCTTTGAATTCTTGAAGGTATATATTTTCACCACTATATCGTCAAAACTATTAACAATTAGTTTGTTTTGAATTACTACTCTCGTTTTATTATCTGATATAACTTCTAATCCATGATATTATGATAAAGGTGTGCATGGAATAATATTTTATCCATTCAGAAAAGTTATATAATTTCTTCCTCCTCTAACAACAAAGGTATTTCAATATTTAGTAATACAACAAAGGTATTTCATGTAAATTTAAAAATAAAATATAAACCTCTGCTAAGTTAAGATGTTAGAACCTTTTTTAAAACCTTCTCTTCCCCCTTCTCTCTGTAATTCAGATATTAGAACCCACGAAAGAAAAAAATCCATCTCCTCAATTTTGTCCCAAAAAGAAATTTAATTACCTTCAACAAAACTGCATCAGCAGGAGGAATGGCATCAAACATGTCTCCTCCAACAAAGACCAAATTCTCAGTACCACAATTCTTCAAGCCATTAACCACATGAGGAAGATCCAACACAGTACACTTCAAGTTCGGAAAAGCATCAGCCAAGGCCTTGGCCATGTTTCCGGTTCCGCCACCAACATCCACCATTGAATTCATTCCAAAGAAAATATCTCCACAATTTTTTATCACCAGTTTACTAACCAACCGACAATCGGTGGTCATCGCCTCATTGAATAACCGGTTCAACCTCGGTTCAACACCCGCGAGCTCCCATAAACCTTCTCCGTGACACGTGGAAAATGGCGTTACGCTAACATCACCACTATTTTGAAACCATTGGCTCAGATGATGCCATGGATCCATCAAGAGTGGATCGAGCATTGCCATCACAAATGGCGTCGCGCTTAAAGGGTTGTCTCTTAAAAGGAGTTTAGACGATGGAGTAAGCAAATAGCCATCTTCTCCAAAGATGTTTTCTTTACGAAAGAAGACCGAATGCGTGAGAATTTGCATTAGGCGGGGGATGAATTGGGATTTTTCATGGTTTATGGGAAGAGCATTGACCAATTGATGAAGGGACATGGGGTGATTATCACCATGTTTGTGAATGATGTCTGGAATTCCTAACTGAAGTGCACATTTTAGGGACATTGAGTTTATGAAATTGAATGTGTGATTCCATATGTGCGCTTGAGCTGCAAGTAGCTCTTCATGATCACCCTGATCATGTTCAGAGTTACCATTGTTTCTTAGTGAATTCATGTTTTTCCTCCCCTCTTTTTTCACTCTAGGATTTGTGGGCTTAGTGCTGAATAAATAGCAAAAACTTGACTTTTATAAGTAGTACTCCTCTGTCCCAAAATTATTGTCCAGTTTGAGATTTCACTTCTAATACAAATTGAACTAAAAATGAAAACTCAAACTAGATAATAATTATGGGACGGAGGGAGTACTTGGCTAGATTATGGAACGTACATGGGACACACTGATCGATCACATGAATCATGGCTAAAGTTGCATTCTTATATTGATATGACGATCGATTATATAATGATAGTTATAATATTCTTAAGTAATTCGGAGCTAATTGTTTTTTTTTTTTTTTGGTTAACTAATTACGTGAAACAGTGATTTTTTTGTACGTATTTTCTTTTGGTTACACATTTTTTTAAAAAAGGTTTTGGTTACAAATTAAGTGTTTGAATTTAATAATATACAAATGAATTTACCAAAATGAAATATTTCAACTTCATGATCATAATTTTAGAGCAAATTTTGCTCAATCAATTAATCCGGACCGAATTGATCTTTTCAGGGGACTAAACTCGTCAAATAAGTTTGTTTTAAATTCTTAATCTTTAGGTGCCTGATGCCGTTAGAGATAATTTGTCGTTTTAGAATTTTCCTTTCCCTTTGATCTTCAGCTACTTGCACAATTTAATTATTTTATGTCTCGATTGTTGTGTCTTCCTCTTTTTTCAACAAGAGCTCACATACATGGGAATTTGATTGATAAAGAATTAAAATTGATAAGTTTATCTTTTTATCGGTAACAAGTTGTGTGTATATTCAACCTCTTTCTTTCTACTTTATAAATTCAATTCTTAATTTCTTATAGTTCGTCAAGAAATTAAATGTGAGATGCCGATTTATATGTTGCAAGTTGAGATTCCAACAAATAATATGGTGATTGCCAATCTCTTAGCTCACGGAGGGACGTATATTAATTTGGCTTTATATTTTAAGCTATAAGAAATCTATCACATCATCGAGAGACAAAATTATAAAATCATTTTTATATCAACATACTAACGCAATTGCTGATAGCCTTGCAAGTATGGCCTCTTCCATGTTGATTTAAACAGGAAATAGAGCAAACAAATCCGATGCCACAAACCATAGACTTGTACACATCTTCTCTCCACGCACTGCAATTTATAACATATCCATTTTAATAGCTAAAATGAACAAAAGAATGCATTACACAATCGACCACCTCATTCTTCGGTTCCAATAAATAATTCTGCTCATACAGCAAACATGGTTTTCTTTGTTGCAGGAAAAATGTCAAAAGCATAAATAAGCGTTGAAATGAAAGAGCACGTTTTGGAAAGTAAAGTGCACACCTTCCATCAAGTTAAGTATGAGGATCATACATACAACAGATGCTAGGAGCTTCATTGTCTTTGAATGAACTGATCTGCCAAAGTTTTAGTTCAAAAACTGTTGTTGGATTTTGTATTTTATAGTTGGTTTTCCCAGATAACAGGTCATGTTGTTTTAGGATCTAAGTTTGGGGGAAATAAAAAGTCTTCTCTCTTCTAATTAAATAGTGAAATGAGGAGACCATCTTCAGTGTACCCGGAACCACCATGGTCCTCCTCCTATTTTTTACATTATTAGTCTTTATTGTACTTTTTTTAAATAACTTCTTCTGTTTTGCAAATTTAGTACTCCCTCCGTCCCATAATTATTGTCCACTTTGCCCAAAAAATTTTGTCCCAAAATTATTGTCCAATTTGACTTTTTATGGATCAAGTTACACATTTGTCCTTAGTAAAAAACATTATCCACAAAATCTTAGTGGTTAAACAATTACTTATGTAGGGGTATATCCGGTTGTTTAAGGTAAAATATAGTTAAATTTGACCAAAAATAAAATTTTTCATTTTAGTAAAACTGGACAATAATTATGGGACGGAGGGAGTACATGTTACTTTTTTTTCTCTCTTCTCTAAAAAAACATCTTTAATACACTACAAGAAAAAAGACATAAAAAGACACTTTTTAGTGTCTTAATAAGTAGTCTATGGTGACATAAAAGTTTTAGTGGCATTGCTTCAATGCGTGGTATATACCAATGTCACAATAGCCTTAATAAACTTTTAAGGCAATTATAAGTGTCATGAAAACCATCTTATATTTAACTATCTAGTAATTTTTTTAATTGGCCTTTTACTATGTAATTTATCTTTTATTTTTTGACATTTACGATTATTAATTGTTTTACTAGTTGTCAGGATATCTTTTTAACTGTTTACTGTTAAATGACAATCAAATGTCATAAAGTCATTTATAAAGGCATTTCAAATTGTTTTAACATCTTCAAACATTTCTATGCACAAAATACAATTTAAAAAAGACGCAAGATTTCCAAATAGAATTATAAAATGATGCTTTGTGTTAAAAAGAAGAAAAGCAAAAAAGTACTACAATGAGTGATCCCTTCTCATCTTACTTCTAACATGTACAGAGGATATGTGCTTAATAACACAATTAAAAACAACATCTATCATGTACCAAAACTATCAAAATAATAACAACTCCAAGGATCAAACTATGTCATCCATATCTATCTTCGGTTTTAAATATATATTTAAATGAGCATAACTCATGATCCGTGAAGAATTTGTGAACGCATAATATGCAAAATTTATAGTACTCGACGAGATCTATCCGATAAGATCAATATTGAATATTAAATTCAAAAAATCAAAAAAAAATTAAAATACTCTGGGCAGAAACGAAAAAAGTATTTGTGCATCTATTTTTTTGTATTGACTATCCAACCGTTTTGTATTGGTAATCCAATCATTTTCAATACTACATAATTTAGCGTATAATACATGTCGTTGTAATAGTTTAGGTACTTCTAATTAATATACAGATACCATTTTTTTAAAAAAAAATAAAATCATTTTCAGTCATTATCCAACTTGTTGGTGATGGTTATCCATTTTTTTTTCCTTTTGTTTTTTATAAAAATGATTATCCAATTTTTTGGACTGACTATCCAACCAGTTCATACTGCTTATCCAATTATTTTCACTGCTTATCCAAACAGAATTTATGCTGCTTGTCTAATGTTTTTTTTTCTATTTTTTTTTTTTGAGAAAATGTATATCCAATATATGTGTTTGTACTGATTATCTAACTTATCAGTGATGGTTATCCGACTTTTTTTGTGCTTGTACTTTTATGAAAATGATTGTCCAATTTTTTATATTGTTTATCCAACCAATTTGAACTCCTTATCCAATTATTTTTACTGGTTATCCAAATGATTTGTAATGGTTATCCGATCATCTTTTTTTTTTTTCTGAAAAAATGGTTATCCAATGTTTTTCAGACCGATTATCCAACCGGTTTGCACTGGTTTTCCAACCATTTTTTTCTTTTCCTTTTTTTGAAAGTCATACTCCAGTTTTTTGTACTGACTATCCAACCGTTTTGTATTGGTTATCTAATCATTTTTACTGCTTATCCAAACATGGTTTGTAATGTTTGTCTAATGATTTTTCTTTCTTTTTCTTTTGAAAAAAATATTTGTTTAATATGTTCATACTGATTATCCAACTTCTTTGTTATCATTATCCAACCTTTTTTTTTTAATAAATACAATTGTCCAATTTTTTTATACTGATTATCCAACCAGTTTGTACTACTTATCCAATTATTTTTACTGCTTGTCCAATGCATTCGTATTGATTATCCAATCGTTTTGTATTGTTTGTCCAATTATTTTTACTAATTGTCCAAATAATTTTGTACTACTTGTCTAATCATTTTTAAATTATTAGCAATAACCACCCCCACCCTTAATAACATGATTAGATTTTCAGAAATCTAATTTAATTTGATCTCCATTCGTTTAATCTTTCTTATTGAGATATTGACAGAGTTTTGTTGAAATTTGAAGTCCACTCTTATTGTGGATAAGGAATAATCATTGGCTGGATAGGCAGTTAAAATATATGGATAAGTAGTATAAAACTTTCGAATAATTAATAATAAACTGATGGATATCCAACTGCTTGGTACTGATTATCCAACCAATTTTTTTTATTTATTTTTTTTGTGAAAGTCCTTGTCCAGCCTTTTGTACTGACTATTCAACTGTTTTGCATTTGTTATCCAACCGTTTTCTCTGTTTATCCAAACAGGTTTTGTAATGTTTGTCTAATCATTTTTTTTTCTTTTATTTTTTTTTGAAAAATGATTGTCCAATGTTTTCGTACTGATTATCCAACCGACCGGTTTCCACTGCTTCTCTAACTTTTTTTTTCTTTTATATTTTTTATAGATATCCTTGTCCGTATTTTTTATACTGATTATCCAACCGATTTATACTGTCTCTCCAATCATTTTTACTGCTTCCCCAAATCGCGGTGGCTATTCATTGATTTTGTAGTGTTTATCCAACGCCTCCGAATGTACCTATTTACATCAGCAAAAAATGTGAGAGTGAATTTGAAGCGGGCCGCCTCCTATCCACCTGTTTCTTAGTGCTTATCGAACGTCTTTGTACTGACTATCCAACACAAATGCTTTCTTCATTTCTGTCTGGAGTATTTTATTTTTAGTATTTTTCATAATTAATATTCAATATTGATCATATCGGATAGATCTCGTCGATGTCTACAAATTTCATATATAACTTGTTTTCTAAATCTTTACGGATTAGGAGATATAAATTTTACAAGAATATCAATATATAATAGTTGCTCATCCATCTTTTTAAACTAGATATCTATCTTATTTCTGCCCATCAAAATTTAGTCATTTTTAAGTTAGAAAAAAATATTTTATATGAATCTTGTTACGTAGATCTCGATGAGTACTAGAAAAAAATATATAATAGTCGTTTTATAATTATTTATGGATTGAGAGATATGCTCGTTTAAAAATTAGAGATATTTTATGAGGAGAGAGAGAAAAAAAAAAGTGACAAGGACTAAACTTGCAAAACATAAGAAGTTTGA